CAGGGACGAAAATTATTTCGTCCTGTACAATCGCATACATAGAGTTTCCCAAAATTCTACAGGACGTAACCAACTGACGTAAGTCGTTCAGTTCATCCTGGGGAATAGTTTCGTCCTGGGATGATTTTAAACAGATAGTTTCGCCAGGGACGAAAATTAATTTCGTCCTGTTACAATCGCATTACATAGAGTTTCGTCTATTACGTCTCGTACGATTCTCACAGAGAGTGGCTGTACCGAAGTTTCATTTCGTCTGTACGATCTCATACAGAGAGTTTCGTCCCGGTACGAACCTTATTTTCCTCTGGACGAACAGTGCAAGAGAGAATTCCAAGAAGTTCGTCCCGGGACTATTAGGACTTAAGAAAATTTTCTCCTCGCACGTTCAATCCATTGCTCTCCTAAGGGGTTGATTGACATGATCGTTCCGTACGAACCAGGTTCGTCCCGTACGATTAGTTCACAAAAATTATCCCCTAAGATGTGGTGTGATTTTCACTTCAATTTACAATCACTCTCTTTCATTTAAAAACTTATGATTTACAAATGAATAGTTTGAAGTCTTTCATCGCTTGGAGGTTGATTTTCCTGAAATTTAGTACACACTAGAGCAAAAATAAAACTTCCAAAAAAGTGTTAGTTGAGATATTATAAAAATAATAATATTTGAAATCATCAAAATAATATAAGTTGCAAGAATATAAAATATGCAAATAGCAACTCTCTCTACAGTGTAGACATTCCTCCTTCGCTTTTTTCTTTTTTAAAGGAGGAATGTGATGGATTTGAGTCTATTCATTAGGTTGTATTTTCTTTTGTTTCTTCTTTAATGCGATTTGCATTTTATTCAAAAAAAGAAGTACATGTAGTAAGAGTTGATGAAGGAAATGAAAAACCTGATGACATAGATAATTTATTTGCTCTCAGAACTAAGCCTAATCTCAACCCTTGCTTAAAAGTGTCTTAGCATCCAAAGAAGTAAGATACCATGTATATATGACTATATCAAGATGGTTCTTTGATTGTTGCATTTCATTCAATTCCTGAATTCAACCTTTGCATAGAAAGTTGTTGATGTCATCATAGTCATAGGTCCAAGTAACAAAGTTCCATCATACTACATAATAAGAGTTAATCTGCTTAAAGATTATAAAGAGGAGTGCATAGTACTTATTGATTTCTTTAATCTTGGAAGGAGACATGTTATGGGCTTATTCTCGGCTGCCAAAAAAAATTGGACCTCTCAGAGCTAGGTTAACATGGAGGATCTCTCAAAATCCTTCTTCATTACTGTATAAATGTATTGCTTCAAGGTACGGTACTAATTTTTGGAGTCAAGAGTGGGCATTCAGCTGCATGGTCTATCCTTTTGGATGGAGCTTCTTTCTTAAAACCATAGCTCAAGCCCTCTATAATCTTCTCCAAAGAAGCACCATCAGTACACCGCAATTTGTGTGTAATGATCCAATCTGTTGGGTCATGTCCAACTGGCAAGTCTGAATCAAAGTGAGGCATGCGAGGTGATCTAATAAATAATCCATCATATGTGTCTCTATCAATCAACATCTCTTTATGCCAATATAGTCGGTCCGAAATTGAAGCCGAACGTGAGAGATCATACGCATCAATCTCCAGGCAAATATCTTCTTCTGAAGGCTCGATACAAGATAATGATGGAGGTCTCCTCCAATCAAACATCTTAACCTGAAAATACAAAAGAAGAATAATGAAATATATATACTAAATGCTTGCAACGAATTTCTTGCGTGAAAATCACTTAAGAATTTCGTTGGGAGGCAATTTGTTGACTGATATTTCAGATGCATTGGCAAAATTCATTTTTTTATCATAATACAAAAGAAAAAAAAGCATGCAATAAAGAGCGAAAAAGATGCATCTCTTCAGGAGGATGATCGATCCCACTGCCAGCAATGAATCATCAATGGATGCATCCTTTCGGCACAATAACTGCCATCAACAAACAAATCAATAAAAAGGGAAAGATACAAAGAACAAAAAAAAAAAAAACGAAAAAAAAAAAAAAAAAAAAAAAAACGAACACTTAATTTTCCCCCTCTGTTCCGAAGTGCACTTCTGTCTTCGTCTACTCCAGTGACTAATCCGACTTCACCGTCGCTCCAACCCACTTCTCAGACCTACTCTGCTTCTTGCTTGAAGATAATTCATATCTTCGTCTTGGTCCTTGCCTTTCTCTTGATCATACAAGGCCACACAAGCTTTTCGTTAACCTGCTTTCAAGGCTTACCCTCGCGTCGCATCTAAATAACTGGCCAGCTCTCTACATCTAATTTAACCTGCAAATAACCCTTCGTCCAAAAAATCTCACATAATTTATGAATAACCATTTTCTTGTGACATTCAAATCAAGCCAGCAAATCTGTTACTTGCTTAAGAAATTAAATCTCAAAAAGCTAGCCATTTGCTTATTGCATGTGAATATCCTGGATTAGCATTTAATGCAAGACAAGACAAGACATTGTTCTCAAAATTTTTAGAGAATAAAATCAAATTTTTGTCTGTTATTGCTGTACCACTCTAATAATAATTTTGATTTATACAATCAAATACATTTATATGCAATAAAAGAAAGTCCTTTTAGCAATTACAAAATGGCAGATGTATGTTGAATTTGAAGACCTCGCATCATTGATCTTTGATCTGGACGAGATGAATTTTAAATTAAAGACCCGCGCCGTGATTTTTAATCCGGGCGGATGGTTAAAAAAAAAAATCTAATGAAGACCTCGCGTCATTGATCTTTGATATGGGCGAGATGAATTTTAAACTGAAGACCCGCGCTGTGATTTTTAATCCGGGTGGTTGGTTAAAAAAAAATCCAACGAAGACCTCGCGCCGTCGATCTTTGATCCGGGTGAGAAGAAACAATGGCAAATGCCGTCCTGATTTCCCCCGGTGGGGAGGCGTTACAGGGAGGCTGCCGAAATTCCTCCGCAAATTTATTAAAATTTTCTAAAAGTTGGAGAGTGATGGAATTGAGTTTCAGCTAATTGATTGATTAATCAAAATTCAAGAAATTTTAATTGATTAAAAAAATAAAATTATTAATTTGAAATCAAACTAAATTATTTGATTAAAATCAATTAATTAAATTAATTATAAAAGCTAATTGATTAACTAAAAATCAACTCAATTGATTAATTAAAAAAGTATTTAATTAAACTTAATTTAATACTCAAAATTAATTAATTAGAATTAATCAATTAATTTTAATTTTAAAAAAAATCTAAAATCAATTTATTCATTATGATTTGAGAATGTCGACAGACATGATAGCACTATTCATCCACTATTAACACAATTAAGACTATCATAAATAGAATATCTCATGATATCTCACATAAATAATCATAAATATAAAGCAGCAAAAAGTATCTCAAAATTTTCAATATAAATGTTCAAGTGACAACACTTAGAATGACGAAAATTAAGCAAAGATACCATAAACATTATCAAATTATATCTTCCACCAAGATGCCAACTTCACCAGGCCATAATCCATTAGTGGAAATACACGATTTCACAAGCAGCTAAAAAAGTATTATGAAAACATTGGTATCATATTTGATAATGTGCAATAGAAAGATTAACTTTGCCGAAGTTGTTGTAAGAATCAAGAAAGGAATGCCAACCTTCCTTCTTCTAATTGGAGCACCAATACTAAGAAAGCCAGGTGTAAATGTATAGTCATTAAACTTCTGTCTCCTACAAATTGAAGTAGTTATTATTTTAATTGAAATATCAGCTCATTGCAGATTACATCTTTCATAGGGCAACAACAACAGGAAAAATATATAATACCAAGTCTTCTACCAATTGATTTTTGATACACAAATAGCACATGATCTTACCTGTGCGATTGAACAAGATATATACGCACGCACTTATCGTATTTATAGATAAGGTTGGTGCAAGATGTATCATAATTTTGTTTATTGTACAAAAAAATTAATGTCACTTTGACCTATCCGAGAAGCCAAGAGTCCAAGTCATTGAAACTATCATCTACAAATCATGTTGCATGTAAATCTGAATGCTTTAAATGAATATATAATTATTGTTTAATAGCTTGACAATATATTAGACTACCATTTCTCTACAAACCAGAAAATGGAATTTTTATTTATTTATTACAA